AACTATAACAAGCACAAAATGGTTACAAGGTAGGTCCCAGGGACCGAGCCCAGGTTAAAAGAGTTAATATTTAGTTCTTTGTTGTTTTTTTTCATTTTAGTTGTGCCAAGCTTCATTCATCAAGATCTACTGAAATAATCCTAAATCACCAGTTTCCAGAATGACTCCCCTGTTGACCATTCTACACCCAGTACTAAAAGATGCTGAGCTGGCATGTGTGGCAGGTGTTAATATTAACTTTGCATATGGAGCAATCAACACTTTGACTCCATATATTCAGGGACGAATCTTTAGTAAAAATATATAATTAAAAAATATTATTTTTTGTGAACAAAGACTTGTAAGGTTTACTGAAAACTTGCCAAATTGTGTGAAGATAAATGTACCATATTAAAGGTAATAGTTTAGTTTGGGGTTACAAGGTTGGTGTAATTCACCAACCCTGTAAGAAAAAAATTTATATAAAATATATCTTACATTTAAGATACTAAATCTAAATATAAAACTTAATTTAAAATAGCACTTCTTATAAAATCAAATGGAAGCTTTTTTTAAAGTGCTACTGTAGCTACTGAATAACAAAGAGTTTACAAAAATCATGAAGATAATGAGTTTCCACAACCTCTGTCACACTAAAAACTTCACAACTTATTTTTATTTCTAATACTTATCCTTCTGATGAGAATTGTTCATTTGAAATTGAAATACAAATAAAATCTGTTATACAGCATTACCAAGGTCTTTTCAACATTTCATATTTTGTCATTTTACTTTCAATATATGTTAATGAAATGAACATTATAATGTATGTTATAATTTGAAATTTTATGTTATCTAAGTTATAAGTCTTTTGCTTCAAAACAAACCTTTCAAAAAAATACTTACACTGCAGTTTTCATGTCACGTGATCCACACACTATGAAAAATCTGGCAAGGTACATGAGTATTTATAAGTAAAGTACATGTGTTTTACCTACATTACATCTGATACCCAAAGTCTGTAGCTGGTTTGTATGGGAAACAGATATAAATTTTTGAACTACTGACGGGTGCCAGGCCTATCTTCTATACTTTGCCTTGAGAGCTACAACATACATGTAGTTAGAAGGCACAAGTGTATATAGTCGTTAGAAAGAGCTATAATCCACCAATGTTAATTAGAAATTGGCCCGCAGTTTTTCTCACATTGTACATGTAACTGTTGTTAGTATTGTTGTCTACTTGGTGAGTATAGCACTTATGGTGGTTTCTTATTTAAAAATGCTACAGTTAGACAGACAGTTAAACTGTATTGAGGTCTTACTTTTAAACATTAGTTAATTATGTATTATTTGTTTTAAAAGTCTTATTTGAAAGGTTTGATGATTTTTATAAGTTTAACTTCTTCTCACCTGGATTGTAAAAGTGTATAAAAAAGATGACATCATTTGCATGTGCAAAGCATTTGTGAAACGAGTCGCCGTATAATAACAATAAAGAGTTGAGGGCACCAGTTAACATATCCAGCATAAATAATAAAAGACAAAGAATTGGAGAGGAAAATTAAAAATAAAGTATAAATTAAAATATAAAGACATGAAATTACAACAAGTTTCAAAAGAC